TTTTTTATTTCAAAATGTAAAAAAAATTTTTTTGTTTTTAATTTCCAAAAAAATATTTTTTGAATATCAAAAATGATTCGGATTTTAATTTTAATTCTCAAGTTAAAAATTCTAAATTCACTTATATACTTCAAATGAATAATTTAAACTTTACAATTCAGTTTATATAAATCTAAGAAATATGAGATAAGATGCTTCATTCTAACTCCGCTTGATCAAGATTTGTTTATTTACTTTTCATGTGAACATATATGAAAGTCATTATCCAATTTATAAGCTCTTATATTTTGTCTATAAAATACAAATAATAAATGTTACAGCATTAGTGAATGTATAATATTACAGAAACGTGAATAAACAAAACAAATGAAGCGGAATTAGAATGAAGAGCTTAATCTCATATTTCTAAGAATTATATAAACTGAATTGCAAAGTTAAAATTATTTATCACAAGTATATAAGTGAGCTTTAGAATTTTAGCTAGAATTAAAACTGAAATCCCAATTATTTTCGATATGCAAGAAAAATATTTTTTTGAAAATTAAGAAAAAAAATTGAAACAAAAATTTTTTTTTTGCTTTCTCCAGAAATAATCGTTTCATCAATATCAGCAAAAGATTTTTTGAATCGTTCAAATCAGAGTTCTCTCAAAAACTGCCATTTTTGCACATTTAGCACATCTCTGAAACGGTTGGGCATGTGTTTGCCAGAAACTAATCTTCTCATCATTACGAATGAAATGTTTTTTGAATCATACAAATCGGATGCCTTGTTTTCTCAAAAACTTAATCGACTTTTCCCAAAAACTAATAAGCACTAATCCCCATAGGTAGAAATCGAATGCTTTTTGAATCATTCTAATAGATCGAGCGGTACTCCCGAAAACGTCGATAAAAAATTGTATCCACACATACATACCGACACACACACATCATTTGTTTCTTTTTTCCTTTCGATTTTTGAACGATTACAATAATTTACACTATGGAAATTTATATATATATATATATATATATATATATATATATATACATACATATATATAGGGCCGGTCCTACCTTGAATACAATGCATGCGAAAAATGCGGGCGCACGCCTTAGGATGCGCCAAAACGAGATTCGGATATGAAATTTATAATATAGTCTTTTTCCAATGTCATTCAAGAAATATATAATTTCTTTGCATTTTCTACTAATCTTTGGACAATATTTTCAAAATACTTTAAAACAACGATCTGATACACTATGAGATAGTAAAGATGACTACATACTGTTCGGCCCTTACGATATCAATTATTAGGAAAATATCAATTTTGGATATTTTAAATACATTATTCATTTACATGAAGTACCAGTGTTATGTTTATTATTGAAAGGCTAGAATTTTTTTGCCCTCTATGATTTGCTCACTAGATTAAATCGCATAATATCCCCAAAATAAATAAGAAAAATGCTTCAAACCCCAAATATCATTATTACAACTGCATTAGAAATAATTGCTAATTTAAAAATATTCTTGCAAGAAATAATAAACATGCTGAAATTTTTGGATGTCCTAAACAATTGTTGTATTAAAAATTTGGATAGAAGACAACAATTTGATTATGAGCACCCTCGAATCCCCTCGATCTTCTAAATAAATCTAAAATCAATGTATTTTATGCGGTTTTATAGTATATCTGATTTTTTGTGTGCTAATCCAGAAATATTGAAACGTATTTTAAACTAGTTGATATTGGTATTTCGCCTTGAAGCAAGTTACATGAACTTTCCGATATGTGTAAATAATCGACTTAACCAATAAAAAATAAATTAATTTATGAGTGGATTTATTACACAAAATTGAAAACGAACTAACACGTTAACTCGGAGTATTTTCAAAAAGCAACTTTTCAAAAAGCAACAATTATTATATTTGAACCAGTTTCCGTAGGATTTTAATTGTTTAGTATGTTTATTAAGTCCAAGTACTATATTGTTATACCAAGTAAATCGTCTAATTTTAATTTTAGCTAACGTCAAAAAAACTTCTCATTTTCTCAAACTTTGATGAAATTTTAAAATTAAATTACTTGTCGTAAGGCCGTAATATTACAGTAAGTTCTATAAGACCATGATATATATCGCTAAAAAAAATTCCATAAAAATCGGCTTAAATTTTTTTTCAACAGTTAATTACAAGAAATCGGCTCGGTAGATTTTCACCTAAAACAGTACCATTCCCAACTAATACCTTTCGAACAGTTTTTGATTTTTTAAAATCGGTTCGGTAGGATGAGCTTAAATGAGAACGAAAAGTTTAACACTTTTTTTCAAATTACAAAGAAACGGCTTGGCAGATCGTCGCACAAAACTGACAAACGATAGTCCTCATCGAAATACATCAAATGGCTTTTAAATTTCTGAAATCGGTTCAGGAGTTTTTGAGAAAACGTCGATGAAATGTCTAACGATACCAATTTTTGCAAACTTTGACGAATTTTCAATGTTAAACCAATTGTCGTAGGGCCGTAATATTTTAGTATGATCTAGAAGACCATAGTATCTACCGTCAAAAAAATAATAATGAAAATCGTCGAAAAAATTTTTTTAACACGTTATTACAAGAAAACCAAAAACTAATCAGCACGATTCCCAATCAATATCTTTCGAACGGTTTTTGAATTTTCATAATCGGTTTAGAATTGCGGGCTAAAACGTGGACGAAAAATTTTTCACGTTTCTGCTATTTATAAAGAAACGTCTCGGCCGATCGTCCCACAAACGATAGTCCTCGTCGAGATACATCGAATGGCTTTTAAATTTTTGAAATCGGCATTCGATTTACGGCAAAAAAACTGTTCACATACACACACACACACACACACACACACACATACTTTTTCTAAATTTGGTCTCATTCGATTCAGAATGGCTTGAAACGTCGAGAATACATAAAATTAGCGAATCGGATTTTTTGATGAAAACATAAACTTCTCCTTCGGGAAGTTAAAAAATAACATAATTGTTTTCTAATTTTAATGATAAACTGTTAAGACACTTATTAAAATAATAGAAAAAGGGGGGCCGCTAGAAAAAAAGGCATGCAGGCGCTGAGGACCCCAGGACCGGCCCAGTATATATATATATATATACAGGGCCGGTCCTGCCTTGCATGCGATGCATGCAAAAAATGCGGGCGCACGCCTTAGGGGGCGCCAAAACGAGTTTCGGAAAATAAATTTATAATATATTATTTATATTTCTTATTATTTATATAAAATCTAGAATATTTAATTAATTATAATAAAAAATCTAACTTAACTATGAATACGGAGACACGAAAAGCGTATTTATTTGGCAATGTGATATCAGTAGAAACAATTAAATGATTAATAATAACAGCTGAAAAATAGTAAATAACATCTCTATTTATTGCTTAGTCTACATATTCAATTTTTCTCTGTTTGAAGTTACCGTGAAGTCGAAAAACAAAATATCTTGTTCAATCTCATAATCTCATAAGCGCAAACCTGCGAAAAATTAAATTAACTATTGGGCATTATTGACGAAAAATTGCGAACTGTTTTAGTTGAAATGAAACTTGTTAAAAAATATAAACAAATTATAATCGGGAAAATGAAAAATGGGGAGTCAGTGATTAGAAAATGGCATGTATATTCCGAGAAATTGAATTGTAACTTTGTTTTTATAGCAAATGTTTCGCGCCTGATGAACTTTGAACGTTGAAGATGCGTGGTTAGGGTTATGGAAATGGAACTATAATTTAATAATAATGAACTATATTTAATTGGAATAATTTAATTATTATTAACTATGCAGAAATAATATATATCAAATATAATAAGTTTTTTCTTTCAATATAATTCGATAAATGTTTAATTTCTTTGCATTTTTTACTGATTTTTTGAAAATCCTTCTAAAATACATTGAACATTTAACTTTAACCCTCGCGACTAGAATGCCGCCGCTCCGGCGACAAAATTCATATAAATCTTGCAATTCGCGAGTGGAAAGGGTTAAAACAACAATCTGATACTCTGAATATGAGGGAAAAGCAAGGATGAATACAATTCGGCTCTTACGATATCAAGTTTACGACGAAATTTTGGATATTGTAAATACATAATGAAAAATTAAAATGAATTAAAATTTGAAAAATCCAATATGAAATACGAGTGAAAATAAAAAGCTAGTTTTTTTAGCTCTCTTGACATGATTTGCTCAATAGAATAAATTGCATAATAAATAAGTATAATGTTTCAAAACCCAAATATTAATATTGCACATACGTTAAAAATATTGGAAAATTTAAAAATATTTGATTATAATCAATCCGCGAATCGTGTCGATTTTCTAAATAAATTTAAGATCAATGTATTATTTTATACGCTCTTAGATTATATCTAATTTTTTGTATACAAAATCCAGAACAATTGAGAATGAAATTTAAAAAAAAATGTAAATATTTATATAATTTTAATGATAAACTGTTAAAACAGTTAAAATTAATAGGGGGGGGGGCGCTGGAAAAAAAGTTGCATGCGGGCGCTAAGGACCCCAGGACCGGCCCTGTATATATATATATATATATATATATATATATACATAAATGTGTGCGTGTGTGTGTGTGTATGCTGTTAAAATTGAGAGATCTTACAAAAATGTGTGCATAGAAAATTAAAAATGTCCTTGAATATATAATAAAAAATGTACATACATACAAATTTATAAATACACAAATCATATACATGAAAACGTCAATATAATTTATAAATAATTGTAACAAATAAATTCCAAATTGTATCATTTAATTTCACTTTTATGATGATTCAATAACTGTTTTCAAGTATTTGTGCAAAATCATACAAAAAGTATGAGTCAAAACGTGCTTATATATTTACTATGCCTACACATTTATGGTCATGTAAACATATACGAATTTGATCTTATTATAAATGAAAGTGCTCAAACAAAATAAATAATCAGCAATGTATTTACCTTATAACAATATCCTTGTCGTTTCTCCGTTCGATAATCAACTAAAATCACCACTTTTTTTAAAATAACTATTATGTGTGGTCCATTGTGTATTGTACAGATAAGGATGGTGCCATATGTCAAAGTACGATCTGGGGAGAACACAGAGCACTCGGATGCGAACTCGCATGCGACAGAACGACGGAACGCGAATGACGAGCGGAGACATGCGATCATGCGAATGACGTTCCGAAACGCGGCAGCGCCACTGCGGCGGTAGAGGAAGTTCTGATTACACAGAGGCACAGAGACGTAGCCGGGCAAATTCATTTTTACTGAAATTTATTTATGTCCCGTAGAAGTTAATATATGTCGTTATATAAGGACTCGTATTTCCACTTTTCCGTGATAAATTGTTTTTTAACTTCTTGTAGGGTAAGTTATAGTAATCGCAAAAAAATTGAAAATGAAATTTTTTATATATCTTTACGTTCACGTTACCTCAGAAAAAAATGGGTGTGTGTGTATGTGTGTGCGTGTGTGTGTGCGGATACAAATTTTTGTCGACGATTTCAAGAACACCGATTTGAATAATTCAAAAAACATTCGATTCGTAATGATATGGCGACCTGCTGATTAGTTTTTGGCAGAAGCAGGTCTAGCCGTTCCGAAGATACGGGGCAAAAAGTGCCAAAAATGGTAACTCAGTTTTGAAGAGAACAGAGCGTCCGATTTTAATAATTCCAAAAACATTTATTAACAAGATGAAGAACTGACTACATATTTGTGAAGGCAGGTTCAGCGGTTATGGACTTTCAATAAAAATAAGTTAAACTAGTGGGGTGTATGGCATCGTGCCTTAAGGCAAATTGCTGAAACTTCTCGTACCGTAACGAAATGTTCGAGGAATACTGAATGTTTTCAAATAGATTATTATAAATATTGTAACATTGTCTAATATTTATAAGAATTATATAAACTGAATTGCAAAATTAAAATTATTTGTTAATATATTAGACTTTAGTCAGAATTAAAAAATAAAATTTGAATTATTTTGATATACAAAAAAAAACTAAAAAAAAAAACAAAAAAAAAATGATACCATTTTTTTCGAAAATCAATTATTTTGTTAAAACAAGCTGAAAGTTCTT